ACCGGCGACGCATCGCCGATGGATCGGCCATAGGCCTCCGACAGTGAATCCCGCACCTTCCCGGGCAGCCTGGGGCCATCGGGCCCCTTGTCGGCGACCGGTGGGCGGTTGGGGGCCGGGGCGGTTGGGGGCGGGTGCCCCCCCCCCCTCTCTGTGCCCATGTCCCCCCGAGGAGGAGGAGGAGAGGAGGAGGAGGAGGAGGAGGAGGAGGAGGAGGAAGAGGAGGAGGAGGAAAAAGAGGGGCAGGAGGAGGAGAGGAGGGCGCTGCCCCTGAGCGCTGCTCCAGACCAAACTCCACCGCGCCCGGGCGCCCGGGCCGGCGACCTCCCTCTACCACCTGGGGTTGCCCTGCGCCGGTGGCCTGCGGCAGGGCGACGTTAAGCGAAGGGGTATTGGAGGCCCTTAGGAAGCCGGCTTTCAGGCCCAGACCGCCTCCAGCGCCTGAGCTGTCAACTGCCAGCTTCCCCAGGAGGAGTAGGAGGAGGAGGAGGAGGAGGAGGAGGAGGAGGAGGAGGGACTCCGCAATGCAGAGCGCCAGGCTTGGGAGGAGGAGGGCAAGGAGGGAGAAGAGGAGAGGGCGGCTGGCAGCAGCTTCTGTGCCGCCAGGCCCCGCGGGATCTCTGCGTCCTGCCCTGCCGACCCAGGCTGTCGACCGCCCGCGGCGCTGCGGGTGTGGACGGCGGGAAACCCGTCCACGGACCAGGCGGCGCCCACCCTGACCAAGTCCGATTTTTTTGACTCAAGGGCAGGATGACAGGTTCGGCTACTCAGTCGTGAAGTCTGTAAGCTACCGCAAACGCCGTGCACATGAGGCGTCTGGCCATGCAGACGAGCTGTCTTGCCAACGAGGGCGCAATCACTGAGACGGTCACCCCGACCGAGTCCGATGATTCTCAATCTCTTGCGCGTCCTCTGGCCTACCGCGCCAGCGCCGCAAGCTCCTGGCAGCTGTGCTGCGCCTGCTACCCGCAGCATGTACCCAGCGGCGCCTGGCTCTCGCACTTTGGAGTCCCGAAACGGTGCGGTGACAGACCGTGCGGTGACCTCGGAACCCCAAGAGAGCTCACCGCACGGTCCGTCACCGCACGGTCTTGGGACCCTGGAGGCCCCCGTCGCCCGAGACATCCTCGGAGAGGGACCCGAGTCCCAAAACCGTGCAGTGACCCCGAATCGCCGCCGACTCACCGCACGGTGTGGTCACCGCACCGTTTGGGGCCCCCCAACGCACGCTCCACCCCTGCAGCTTCCCGGGGCTCTGCTGGGCGGCCCCAGGCGGGGGGGGGGGGCCTCGGCGGCTCGCCACACGGCGCTTGGGATAGAACATGCCGGTTGCGCAGCGGAACGCGGTGAACGTCTGGAAGGTGTTCATTGTCGGCGGGGCGTGCGGGGGCTTCAGGTGCCAGCCGAAGCCGCAGGCGTGCGCGGAGTTGTTGAAGAACGTCAGGTCTGTCTGTTCGGAGGCCACGCCTATCAGGGGCGTCCAAGAGGGTGCAAATCGTGGCGCGGCCCTGGGGGGGCCAAGCGAAGTATTGAAGGAAGAAGAGGGGGGCGATGAAGTCTGGGGAGAGTTCATGACCCCAGCCATGATATCCACCAGTGCTCCCCCCCCCCGGAGGGGCAACGTTGCATGGGGACCGGCTCAGGGGAGGAAACATCGCTGGACCTATGACAGCATAACATCCTTCAAGAACATGAGACCCTTTGCCGGCCAAAACACACAGGACATCCAAGGGTACCCTCCCCAGGATGCACAAGAACATCCAACAAACACGAAGAACATGAGTGTACCCTCCCCGAGCCGACCTCGATCCTTGTGCCTCGGTCCGACTGGAACCTCGAAGTTCGAGCCTGTCCCTCCCCCTGACGTCGCCCTTGACCCTTGGGACGCCCCCTCAGGGATCTTCTGACCCGGGCCAGTCAGGCCTTTCAGAATCCTACAAGATCCTGCAAGATCCTGCACCCAAACCCCGGTCAATGCGACGGATCCTGCAAGATCCTGCAGGACCCTACACCCAAGCCTGGGTCCATGCGCCCGTGGCCCCTGCAGGACGAGGAGGAGGAGGAGCAAGAGGAGGAGGAGAAAGGAGGAGGAGAAGGAGGACGAGGAGGAGGAGGAGGAGGAGGAGGAGGAGGAGGAGGTGCTACAAGATCGGGCGCTCTGGCTGACCCTCGCTTGCACTCGCCCCCGCCGTCGGCCCCGGCCACCCCCCCGTCGCTCCGCTGGCGTCGGGCGCGCCGCCGCCGCCTCGCGCCGCCTCGCACGGCTGCCTCCTGGGAGTCCTGGCCCTTTCCCAGAGGAGGAGGGGGAGGTGGAGGGGGAGGGGGAGGGGGAGGAGGAGGAGGAGGAGGAGGAGGAGGAGGAGGAGGAGGAGGAGGAGGAGGAGGAGGAGGAGGAGGAGGAGGAAGAGGACCCCGAGGCCCCCGACCCCCCTCGGGCCTTCCAGCTTCCGCACGCGCCAGCCGCGGTGGCAGTTCACGGCGAGGTTCGAGCGGTGCCAGCCTCGGGCACGGGCCGCGGGCGCTCCCCCGGGGGCGCGGCGGCCCCGAGCTCCCTGCGCTCGCCAGCGTTCCCTGCGCCTCCCTGTGCAGCCAACCCGTTTACCATAAGGTGTTTTTTGTTTTAAAAAGAAGAAATGGAAACACCGAACATCAGAAAGTAAGGCAGCATCGAGGGCCTTTTCACGATGTTTGAGCTAGCCTGTCAGTGAAAAGGAATCTTGACACTCAATCCTGCGCGCAATCGCCTCGCTGTCACGCCCCAAAGCGTGGTCCCTGAAACGGGTAGAAAAGCCCGCCCCCGACGGACTGAGAACGGGGTTTCCGCGGTCACCCCCTCAATCAGAGCCCGTATGATTCGGATGCACGGTAAGGATGCGAGGGCCTTAGACGCCCATGCCGAGGATCTTCGAGCGGAGCGCGGCCAGCGAAAGCGGCCAAGGATTGGCCGAAGGGGAAGGATGTAAGGGTAGCCTTGGAAAGGCTCTCGTCCCTACAATGCGGGTTGACTGTACCCAAACACGCTCTCGTCGTAAAGAACAGCAGCGCGACAGATGTTTCTGGTATGTTCCGCCTTAGGGACACTCACCAAGCCCCTGGGCTCTGGACAATCAAAAACACGGCTCGGAATGAAGGACTGGCCCCAAGGAAAAGGGCTGGGATTTCCAGGGAATGCCTCGTGAAACAAGCAAGACACCCCATGTCTGGGCACAGCAGACACAGACGATGACAAGCCTTGCCACAGGAAAGCTTGGGGCACACTACTCGTTCGTCGAACTTAGAAGGCGGTAAGGTATCCCAGAGCGCCTGTGGGCCCCTGGGGGGCCATCGGAGGATAAGACATTTCCGTGGGGCACCTGCTGGCAGACCGACTTCCGATTCGGCTTGCTGACTGTAATCCTGGCAGCCCTGTGGGCGCAGGTGGTGCAGAACAGTTCCCCTTCCGGGCCCCCTTCCTCCCCGAAGAGGAGGGAGAGGCCGATCACTGCTCCTGACTGGTCAACACCCCCTCCACCACTCGACCGGTCGACGACCAGCCAACACGTGGCGGCAACCTATTGAACGGGCACGCCGCGAGCACTTTGCATTTGTTTTGGCAGGGGCTGCGAGGGTGGGATCATATTTTCCCGCTGTGCGCTGGCTTAGTTCCCCTGTCAGGCAAAATGCTCGAGGCTCCACGTTCAAAAGGCGGAGGGGTGGCGTCAGTAAGTAGACATTAAACAAGCAAGACACCAACCCATGTGCCATCAAAGTTGACACGCTGTTCAGACGCTCGAGAGAACGCCAACAACATTTGGACGGCCCAGCTGGGCAGTGCAGAGTTACTTTGATAATGGGAGGCCTGTTGAGCCGATACTCAGCAAAATGCACACTCATTGCGGGTGCACGCACCGTGCGCCATGCTGGCCACCCCGCTGCTACTCTGCGGCGGCCTTCGTCTGACTGGGACGGGGGGCGACATGCTGCCTGACGTGTGCTGCCACGTGCGCTGGCGCACCCTGGCACACTCTGCGCGCGCCACGCACCCAACGCACCTGGCGCGGTTGGAGCATGCGGCCCCCACGACTCGACGTCGAGAAATGAGGGCCTGCGGCGCCAGCGGTGTGGCAGATGCTGATGCGACCGCGCGCGCCATTTCTGAGTTCCCCATAGCTGCCTTGCGCCACACTGTATGGCCTGGGCTGCCCGACTGTGGAGCACTCGGCGCACGTGGGACACGCGGCACACCTGGTGCACCAGGCGCGCCCAGCGCGCTTGGGCCCCTGCGGCACCTGGAACACCCGGCGCGCGCGGCGCAGCTGGCACGCGTTTCTCACCCTGCGAGCGGCGCGCACCCGGCGTCCGCCCTCGTTCCCAGGTGGCTGTCCGTGCGCTGGGTCTCGGGTGCTATCTGTATGTGTGAGTATTGTTGAGTGCCCGTGGGAACTTGACCCCTCCCCCTACACACTCCCATTCGTCTCGACGGGGGCGGCGGAGTGTCAGAGGGTTCCCCTTGTCCCAAGAAAAATGAACGAGACAGCTTGTGGAGTTCTCGTAGGAATGTGCCACCTCCCCCTACAAACTCACATTGGTTTCGACGAGGGGGGCGAAGCGTCAGAGGGTTCCTCTTGTCACAAGAAGCATTGTCTCTGATAGTCCATGACAGCGTCCAAATTTGCGAAGATAGCCCAACATAGCTCAAGATGACTGCCCATCGTTCCAGGAGGCTGCGGGTAAACCCTCTAAAACATCATTGGGTGTTGGTGTTGTCGTTCTCGCCTTTTCTCGGGTCTCTGGCAACCCGCGACAGCGCAAGTGGCCTCCAAGATAACCCCTGGACGGCCCAGGAAGCATCCAAGAGAGCCCTAAAATGGCCCAGCAGGGCGTCGGGATTGCCCAAGAGGCATCCAAGATGGCCCCACGAAGCCCCAAAAACAGCCAAATAAGCTTCAAAAGCGGCCCTACAGCGCCCAAGCAAGGCCCCAAGGCCTCCCCGAAAGCCCCCCAAGACGGCCAGAGGCTCCGAACACGCCGCTGGGAGGCCCGAAGAGAGCCTAACAAATCACCAATCAGCCTGCTTCTCCTCCTCCTCGTCCTTGACGTTCCCTTCCTGAAAATATGGTAGGCCTCTGTTTTGCTGTTGCCCTGGAGGAAGGCGTTCCTTGAGCCAAATAACGATGGCAGTGTACAAGCATGCGGAACGGTCTGAAGCGCACACGACAACTATAATCCTCATCCAGTCGCACGTCCATGTTCTAACATCTCCCCTCGGCCAATGTTCGTCGAATGGGGCAGCAGGTGAAGAACTTGAAGAAGCGAGCTGGGTACACCTGTGAAATAAAAATTGCAAGACGCACTGTGGCGAATCGAGGTCTTTAAAATCAGCAAATTCACAACTGGCGCGGGCAAATGGCGACGATGGTTTCGGCGCGAACGTGCAGGGGCCCCTCACACAACATATTATGGTTTAGACGTCGCGGCATGTCATGTTGCGCAGAATTATTAAGCACATAGACGGTGGGCGTAAACGAGCACCTGGACTTCAACTGATCCTGAGGTCAATCAAGGCTACCAGCCGAATGTCACGTAATAGTAACTTTTACAGCGTGTACGCTCACACTCTGCAGCAGGTGCCAGCTCGTGTTTTCCACGAGTGATGTTGATCTGTACCTCGCATTCGCATTGACATGCCATCCATGCCCCCATGCCTGGCCAAATCATATGCAACATGATCATGCGTTCCTACTTTGGCCACTGTGATATCTCCTCGTCTCACCTTCTCTTGCAGCCAAAAAAGACAAACCACGATATGTCTGACTTGCCGCAGTCCCTGCCGGCCCGCGATGGCAAAGGCCACGCTGGCATCGATCTTGAATGCGATGCCGCAAACAACGAGACAGATTCGATAACTTCCCTGCAAATCTAACGCCATTGGCCCACCATTTTTCATTCCATTATACTCTGCTTCTCCAAAATACATCGCCACTGGGCTCGAAGTCGAGCTTCGCGGTTTTATCACATCTCATCCCGACATAACTGCCCCACTACTCGTTGATGTAGGTGTCCTCTTACATCCAACGTAATCAGCACCGGTCCACGCCGTTAACTCCTGAGGGCGGTCCTGGCACAAGTACTGATCTCCACACCTGTGGTGGTTCTCGGGGTCCTTGCCTTGCCACGTTTCAGGAGCCACTTCCAAGCTCCTCAGGTCGGGGCTGACATAGGGCGTGCGAGCCCCTTAACTGAAAGCTGTATGACTGCGCGGTCTCGCGCCAAATAGTTGGCTCGATCCACCGATGCTCGACATGTCTTGACTTCGTGTTTTGGCCGGGGCCTCTCATATTCTTCTCCGTAAGCCTGCCATTTTTTCGCCTGGCATCCCACTTCTACCTCTGCACTGCCAGGGATAACTCTCTGCCTGATATCTCTGCGCGCTGTCAATGCGCATCGTGCCATGGCCAGTCCTGGCTCCACAAGTCGGTTCGGGATCCAGATAGAATTGAAATATGTTGGTCCGGGCCCGAACCTGCCCGGAAATTCAAAACCAACGTCGCGTGCAAAATCCATGTGAGAGCCCCCCCCCAATTGCTGGCGGCGGCACGAATGACGCACACTTACTTTCATAATTTTACACATGCCTGGCGCACGATCTGCTTCAGGTTTTTTTTTATATGAAGATGTTATGTTTGGCCCTGGCGTGAAATATGCCCTTTTCACACTGCGAATCCTGGCTTGAATCCGTTCTCGGGCCCCCTCTCGATTATGCCCTATTCCCTCGCTGACTGCCATGGGGAAAAACAATGTTTTAGCTTTCGATGGGGGGGGGCTGCGAATATGTTTTTTTCTTTGGACTTGTACTTGACTTGCTGGGCCACGAGCCGGGATCTGCACTGGTGATTGGCCGCGTCGCCCCTGCCAATGCCAATCCACCTCGCACCGATGGGGGCTTTGCCAGTAACGGCCCGAAGCTCCACCTCCTTCATTCGCATCGACCTCGCGCATCCTGAATTGCCACCCCCCCACCCCTCCCCCCTTGGTTTTCAACGTGAGCTCTGGATCGAGCTTGCTCCCCGATGAATCACCCAAAGCAAGCACTTGGCCATCGTCGCAATGAACTGCGCACGCGTCACTTCTGGCAACGGGCCGCGCCCCGTCAACACTCCCGCGCGCCTCGCGCGCCCCTGAAGTCCCCGACCGCCCCCAGTGCCGGCGCGCCGCACAGGTCCGCCGATGAGGCTGGATGTTTTGGGGAACGCGGTAAGTGCATGCAGCGGCTGCGTTGCGCTCTCACCCCGTGAACTCCCCCCTCCTCTCCCTCCAGCAAATATAGCCAACCCCAAAATCCTCTAATGCCTGACCAGCGTCCAAGTCCCGAGCAACCCCGCGGCGGCATGCCCCCCGTCTTGGCCCCGGACACCCTGGAAGCGTGAGACGGGACGTGCCGCGATCCATTCTGCTCCAAATTACCGATTTCACCAGCCGTCATGCGACGAACTAGGCCTCTGGTTATGGCTCGACAGAATT